GTGATTGAATAGAATTGTGCATGATTATTCTAACACTTCTCTATTGCAGATATTGATAAAAATTCAAAGTGCACTCTGTCACACTGTGAGTAACGTCTCGTTGATATACACACATACGTATCAAGGATTGGCCTGTGATTCAAATTCGCAGGGCGTAGAATTTTCTATAAATTTGTTTTATATGCGTATTATCGTAAACGTTACACAATATTCTACACATAAATCTTTTATGCACGTATGTTACGATATCATAAGGAACAAAAGAGATATCGAAATCAAACGGAGAGGAAAGTAGAACAATCTTTTTACGAGAAAACTTACGTTAACCATTTATAGCGTATTCCTTCTGTTTTCCAGGATATTCCACAGTTTCTAAGAGGTAAGCTGTTTTATAAACTTATAAATCTCTCGAGAGTATTTGAAACGTACAAACGTAAAGAAGAAGTTTCAAGTTACCATGCTGCATAAATTCCAATGAACTCTTGCGGCGATTTAAAGAACACAATGAGGTCTTGCAATAACCTCAGTGAACTAGTTTCATCGTCGTTATCATAACGATGTTGGATACATACCTTTATTTGATACACAATTCAATTTTTACCATAATAGTGATTAAGAATTATTCGCCAATGTCGATTTGAAACGATAGAATATTCGTAATATGTAACAGAGTGCATATATCTGCATTTTAAAATTATTAGTTCAAAGATAATTAATATACGACATGATTAATACCCTGATTAATATTTATAATAATGTCCCAATAATAACGTTTGTAACTCAATAAATTTTATTATAGACATAATTAAATTTACAATTGAGACTATTGGTAATTTGGCTATTGACACATTTATCATCAATTTATATTTAATTTTCTTGCAAATTATGTTATATTCCATAATAATGAAATTAATATGGAACGGATGTTTTATAAAGATTTTGTTGAGAAAGCCTGATCGTAGTAACATTCGTTACACATCGTGCCATCTTACGAAGTCTGTTTACCGCATGTTAATATTTTACGGCAAAGCCGGCGCAGGTTATGGATATGACACGCGTATGGCGCCCATAATATCATTGCACATGGGTACAGCAATAGACCGAGACACGATGGGGCGGACCCGATGTGGAATTAATCACTGCGAAGATCGTACGCGGTATATACGCGTCTGTCGTAACCGGAGAGATCCTTTAACGATTCCGTTTATCCTGTACAAGCTCAACGTGGAAACCTCCAATACACTCTTTCGCTACTCTCGACAACGAGTTTCTCTTAAGATTCGTTTGAAGATGTTGCCGCACATCATAACATATTTACATTGAATCTTTGACCAAGTATAAATAGAAAGGAACAAGATTTTCTCGATGCCATAAATATATCTGTGTTAGTGGCTACAGCAGGTCGCGAAACATGGTCCGCGAAATTTGATTTCAGTCAATCCAGCGTATTACACGAAAGAACGATTTTGCTAAAGTATAAAATCTTGTATATAGAAAATCATTTTATTGGAATATCAAAATAGGACGGTCAAATATACACACTAAATTTCTTGCAGTGAAATCTTACTTCGAGAGAATGAAAATGTAACCACCCTTGAAAAAAGTAAAAATATTTTCACTTCTTAAAAAAAAAGTGATGATCTTCACTCTTTTTGAAGTGAAATCTCACTTTTTTGGAGTGAGATTTCACTACTTTGAAATGAAAATTTACTCTAAATAGTGAAAATTGTCACTCTTTTTCAAGAAGTGAAATGTTTTCACTTTTTCTTGGAATGAGACTTCACTGTAAGAAATTTGAAGTGTCATGAACAATGTTGTGAAAATTTTTGACTTCTAGTTTGAGCGTCCTACATATTTTGATCTAACAAAATTCTAACAAAATGATTTACAGATGTGTATCTAACTACATTTTAGGTACATATTTTAACAGAACTGTTTTTTCCGTGTATGTAACACGTTGAATGTTTGCGCACGTAACATATTGGATATCGTAACATTAGATAGCGTGTTTGGATAATCGAGTTAATGTCACAGGACGATGTAAAATCGCGAATCTTGCATGAGGCGAGATCGAACGGGAGCATCCTGCGTTGCAGCGAAGTCGTAATTGCGCGTTGTCAGGAAAACGTTGCGAAACCCTTGTTAATAACGGGCCGAGCGCGGGATGATTTATACCGTAGCCTATTTAGCGGCGATTAGCGCTTCGCGTAGAGTTACGCGCGCTAGTCGTCCGCTTAACAAGCTTAAACTTAAATTACCGTATTAATCGCGCAGCAGCACCGCAGAATCTAACCGAGTAACCACCTGAGCGGCCGAGCGGTACACGCGATCGCAAATATGTCGTCCGGTATTTCCGGAACCTCGTAAACGTATAACTGCATTAGAATGGAAACTTCATGCTCGCAACCTACGACATCCTGCTGGCAAATCTCCTCAAGTTGCAGCGTCACCAAAGGACACGTGCCGCCGTGTGTGTGTGTCGCATGTGCGCGTTCGACGAGGAGGATATTTCGAGGACAAGGAACCGGAATAACGGAGAGAGGAGAGAATTCTGAACGATATGGAGCATCGTACCGAAACACTCGTCCGATGTAGGCTTGCACGATCATAAATTTTGTGAAACGACGGTACATCCAGCCAAATTATACATGTCGTAAAATATTCCTGCCCAGTTTCTAGCAAGACAGCTTGGAAGTATTTCGCCTAATATCATTTCCCTCTGGTCTGTTTCTTCCTTTCATTCGACTGCCGAAAGACGAAGAGGGTGGAAAGCTGAGATTGTACTGGGGAAGGAAAATGAATAAATACAGCGGTAGTTTGCAGGAGGACAAAACTCCAGTACGTTTCTATATGTCACAAAAATGGTAGGGGCACGACCATGAGAACAAAACAATATTTTTCAATGTGCTAAAATTATCGAACATTCTCTTTTAAAAAACTAACTTCCGTTTTTCACGGCTACATTTCTATAAAATCAATGCGCGAAAAACGAAAGCGCATCTACAGAATGGGATATTTAATTAGCGTTCCTTCATCAGTCGTGTTGGAAAGAGGAATCTTATCGTCGAGTTGTACAATCACGTATGAAAGAAACGCACAGAAACGCGCTTTTATCATGAAAATGTAATGGTATAACTAATTAATTTTGTAAAGTAGAGAAACAAATTGCATTAGGTTTATGACTGCTTCGAACGATGCGCTTCTGTAATTAAGATAATTTTTTACGAGCGTGAAAAGAACTTCTCCATCCTTTGGTGTTTGTCATAAAAGAACTCTACGAGGTGAATATATTTCGTAGTCTCGTCATGAACGGAAGTTTTGCGGCGTCGCGTCGAGAGAATCACATCGCGCGATCATTTCCATTTTCCATCTACGTGAAACGTCAGGACACGTCCGTTCCTTGCGAGACGTAATAGATACGGCGGTCATGCGATATCATTGAACTACGGGATATAGCGGAATCGGATTTACTGGACATGTTCAGCGAGCCGTAAAATCGGATCGTATATTAGAAAATTTTTCGTGGATATACATCGCGATTTTGGACTCTCTCCGAACATCTATGATGTCTTATCGAAAAAAACTTCTAAAAAACGATAGAATGTCTCGACACTGTCGAGTGGATTAAAACTGCGGATCATGATATCACTAGTATCATCTTCGAGAAAATCAACAGAGAGATTTTTCGAGCAGCACCGAAAAGTTGCACTACATTCGAGCTCTTTGAAGCTGAGACTCGAATCGGGGCAACAGGACGCGTCACGAATCTGTTGCAAACAAGTAATTGGAATGGAAAAGTTAGGCAGACGAGACTTCTGGTATAACTTGAGTACGAATCAAGAATCTTTCTCCGGCTGACGTTTCTAAACCTTGGGATGCAGCATTAGAAGACATTTTAACTTATGTACTTAAATGAATAAAAGATAGCGTCTTTATATGTATGTACGTGTCTAAATATTGCTTATTCTTTAAAATAATCTCTTTTTATTGGAAAATGATTGTAGAAAACATTACAAGAGTATTAAAAAATATTCTGTTTTTCTTCCTAACGATCACAAAATTAGTAACGTTTTAAATTTATATATTTATACACAGAGTGCTTCAAAAATAGAGAGTAATAAGATTACAGCATAAAAGTTCATAAAAAAATTAAATAATAAAAGTGCTTTCTATATTTTGAAACAAAGTGGTTTTTAAGATTAAAGATTTAAGATATAACTAATCTTAAATCCGTTGGTTAAAAAGTCATCTATCTGAATGTCATGCAATGGTAGTTAGATATTGAATACTTTAAGATTACCGACACTAAGGGATCGATTCTATAACTCTTAACGATAGTCATTGATGTCATTATGCAGATATTATTTACGTAGAATAAAAAAAGCTGCATAATGACTTAAAAACTACGGAAAAAATCCCCTTAATAAAACATTCTAAAATAAAATAAACGATTTTTAACCAACATTTAGAACTGGTTGGTTCACATACCGTGAATTTTTATATTAAAAATCTATTTTATGAAAAAAATGACATGCATTTTTATTATTCAATTTTTCACGAATTTTCATATTGCAATTTTATTACTCTCGAATTTCGGGATATCTTTCAGAATATTCATATATTTAAATACTCATTGTCTTTCATTTTTACGTTAATTTCATGAAAATAATCGGATGAATGCTTGATTGGCTGTAAGAAAACATTCTTTCACAAAGGTGCGAAAGCAAACAATCACAATAGTATGGTAGCTTAAATGTTTCCAACTGCTGAAAGCACCGGGCGAGAGGTGAATACGGGCTGAATCAGATCAAAGGATAAAGTCGTCTTGTTTCTATTGTCATCCAACACTTTGATCTCACGTATACGCGATACGTTACTCCTCAACGAGGGACAATGGTATAAAGTTTCCAGTCGTTCTCAATCGCTGCGAGTTTTGAAACGTTGTAATAGGATTCCTCGTCGCGACTCGCGTAACATAAAGGATTTATACAGATACTCACCTGACATGGAAACAGGGATGAAAAGCAGCTGGATTATCCTGCGCGGAGAAGTTCGGCAAAGTACCATGAAGTAGAGCGAGCCGTACCACAAGAAGTATGCTAAACTGCAAACATTAAATGGTCGATAAATTTTCATATTGTTCCAGAGACACATTTTTCTTTCAAATATGATACTTATGAAAATATCCACACACATTAAAACAAATGTGGATTTAAAAGCTGATTGTTTGAATTAACGCTCATATTAATATTCAAATTAATGTTTAAATTTAAATTCAAAATTTAATTTCAATTCATTCAAAATTTGATTTCTTGATATTTTTAATATTAATAGGAAATAAATTTAATACTAACTAGGAAGAATTTAAAACCTTAAATATAGCAAGTCTTACATGTATATATAACTTCAACAGTGAATTCATAGTGTGAATATCAAATGTGACATAGAAAACTGATATTCATGGTCCGTTTTTATTTTAAGAAAGATAATACGGCTCTGTGATTGACTTGTGACATTTTATGACGGTCTTAAATATGAGCCTATAAATATCTAAATCAAATGTACTTAGGAAAATACGCTTGTATTGCATGCAAATTTATTAAATTAAAATCCGCAACACTTATTCTTTACATTTATATTTTATTATAATTGAATCATAAATTGTTATTTTATATTTACGCTTATGTAACAAAAAAGTGAAATAAACAAAGTAATTGGACTATATTTTCAAACAATCTCTCAAATTATTTATTCAGTTTATTGATTCATTGCACAACGGTAGAGGCGTTAATACAAAAAGATATAAACCATTATAATGCAGTGAAGTGAATCAAAGTAGATTTAATGTTCCAAAAGTGAAGCAAAAGCAAAATTGTGCATTCGTATGCCGTGTCCACGTGATACAATTTTCTCTTCACGTTAATTATTCATCATCCGTAAGATACGTGGCGAGAAAGCTAGTAATACATCTCGCAATAATGTTACCAGTCGACGCAACGCACCAGTCACGTTCTACTAAATGGTTTAATTAAGTAATACGATTCGCGTGTCTGAATAGCAAAGAACGAAAGATAGTTGCTTTGCAGTCTCTCTTTCTCTCTCTCTCTCTCTCTCTCTCTCTCTCTCTCTCTCTTTCTCTCTCTCGCGCGCGCCAAGACGTCGTCACGTTCACGCAAAGGATGACACGAAACCGTCGTCACATTTCCGTCACGTTCTCCACAGAGCTCGCTAACCCAATAGACGTCCGTACCATCCTCCGATAGACCGCTCTCTATCCCTTATTCCGGAGTTATCCGGGGATGTTGTTGGCCCTCTCACTGTCTCTCTGCCTTTGTACCTACGTTGAGGTCGCTCTCGCTCGCATTCTTGTCGACTGACAGACACGGTGGTGAGTGGTTCTGGAAGGGTAGGAGAGTCGGACAATATCTGCCAATTCGAGGTATTCATATCCTCTAGGATCGAAGTCGACAGACGAGGGTTAGCGTCCATCCTAAGCAGTCACACGAACATGTCGTATGTACGTAACGCTGTCATCGAAACGCCGCATCCTGTAGAGACGTTCGACACCAATGCCGGCCTTGTTCTTCGATGGGAAGCTCTTCGAATATTGTATTACGCCACCACGAGGATCCCGGCTGACCTGCGGAATACGGCGAACGGAACGGAAATTCAATTCCGATAAATATCCGATCCACACGAAATATCGTATCGCATATTGATGCAGCTTTTTTTCGACATTGCAACCGTGGAACTTTTAACCATGGATGAATACACAATTGTAATGCTTGGATACAGTAACGGAAAGCTAATAAATTAAATATTATATAATAATATATTCTGCAGACTAATGCATATCTTATTCTTTTAAGATTAAGATTTTTCTCGAAAATGCGTTTACTTAATATATTCGATTAAATATTGATTAATAATTAGATAATGATAAAGTGACTACAAAAAGCAATCACGATAATGCATTTTTTGCTATAGTAGCTTCGCTCGTAATTTCTCTTTAATTGCAGTCTTAAGAGAGAGTTTAAGACAAGCGAGAATTAAACATTAAGCCAATCAGATAACAGTGAGCATAGCAATGTACAATTGGTAAATAGTGTATGTACCTCTCTCTCTCTCTCTCTCTCTCTCTCTCTCTCTCTCTCTCTCTCTCTCTCTTTTTGGCCTATTGATTAGATTTGTCACTTGTCAGTTATATAATACGTCTTTAGCGCTCGTACCTTCTAATATAATAGCGATTTTTTAGTATGATTAATTGTATTAAATAATAATTTAATAATTTAAAAGCATTTGACGTTAATTCCTTCAGAAAATTATTTGTTAATTAATCGGTAACTATCTCAAATATAAAAGATACGTAATTACGTTGTCTCACTTATGCAGAATTGAGATAGATGATTTTGCTGAAATATCTAAAAATTTAACTTAAATCTGAAAATATTTGATTGAACCATTGAAATATCTAGAATGCTAAAACATTGACGACAATGCTGCAAAAAGTTTTTATATTCTAACGGCTAGTTTGAGCGTCTTAAATAAGTATTTTAGTTCAAACAAAATTATTTCCAAATATATATGTATCTATAGTAACATTTTTAAATATTTCATTAAAATTCATTCTTTCCATGTAATCAATAATGAAAAGTATTATTTTATAAATATAACGTCTTTTTCTCAGTTTGTTCAAACAAAGAAAATTATAAATCTGACAAACTATGTTCAACGTTAGCCAAAATATAGCGTTGTATTCTAGAATATTAGCGAACTTTCCTGGCAATGAAGACTGAGAAGCATCATTGAGAATGACGTACTTGAGAACGTGTAAGTGCTACGGGATGACGGAAACGATAGGGGTGGAAAGAGATCCAGGATATGTAGATAACTGTATGAGGGGTAGGTCGTGTGCAAGCACGCCTCCCTCGTTCGGCGACATAAATTAGCATAACTCAGAATCGTGTTCGGTTAAAGTACTTTCCATACGCAACCTTTATTCCTGCATTGGCCCACGTGATAGATCGTGTTTCCGCCTTGACTTACCACAATACATCTTAAGAGTGAAATACGTTATTTAGCAATTCCAATACTGAGGGAAATTATACAATTGAGTTTACCGTCTAATTATACAGAATTTTAATGTGAAACTTGAATTTTAATGTGAAACTCTGTTCCTTCAGGAACTATTTTTTTATAGAAACTTAACTTACAGAAACATTAATGCAACTATAAAAAAATTACAATCGTAGAATTATTGTCCGTTTATACAGAATATCCCAAAACTAACGATAAATATTTTTAAGACAGATTCTTTGTAACGTTTTTAAGACAAAAAGTCTAGGAATAGGAAAATGTCGAGATTATGATATTTTTAAAATGGAAAGAGTTTAAAAATTACGACGAATGTCAGGAATTTTGTGCGTTTAGGGATCAGTGATGATCAGTATCAAGGCATTAAATTTTGTTATTATATACAGTTCGAGATAGCATCTAATTTTGATATTAAAAATTTTTAAATTAAATTTCGTATTAAACTTTTCTTAAAATATTATAAAAAAACCTTTTTCTTTGAGATATTCATCATCAGTTTTGGAACATCCTGTATCATAATTGCTAAATACTTAGTATCTATATATAATACAATGCTTAATAATGAGCGCAGTACAATCATTATTGATTGTGAGAGATATGCTATCCTTGGATCTTTATCGAACGCTTCTTCGTGTTGGTAAAGGTGCTTAATACGTCGCCGTCTAAATTAATTCGCGACAATAAAGACGATGAGCGCCGGCGCCGTAAGAGCCAGCGTTTCTTGGGTATGAACATCAACGACAGTAAAGCGCCGAGAATTTAATAGCATCTCATAAACTCCGTTTAGGGGTTACACCTTACGGTGTCGTGATCGACCAACATGACCTCAATGGATTCGAACCGAATAAAATACGAGAAATTCACATCCTTTATCGATGAAATTTACTACTCAACTTGAGACTCCTTTGAAGATTTGAGGTACTTCACGCCCGCGTGGATTTTACTAGAAAGAGAGAGCCTTCTTAAAAGCTTTACTATTCGCAAAAACTTTAAATCCTGTTTGAAAATTAAGTTTCAAAGAGGATTCCAAATTAAAGGCATAAAACGTCCGATCGAAATTAAACTGTGCAAGTTTTCCGCTTCTTTGAAGTGTATTCAAGTTAAAATGTGATGTTTAACTTTAATGAATCCTAAAGGAAAATAAATTGATCATTTAATTATTGCCGTCACTTAATAAAATTGCGAGAAAGCTGATTATCATGGATGCCGATGGTAAGCCTGTGCCGTGTTTTCGATTGCCGAGCATTATATAATACCCATTTATGCGAATCGTACATCATTCTGTTGATCTTTTGAAACTACCGCTATTTCATCCCTCGCTTCGTTTGCTGCACAGTTTGTCTTGTGTTGCATAGCAGTTCGGGGAATGTTATTTATTTTCGGTGACCGTAAAGGGAAATTCTCCACGTCGAGTGTATCTATGGTAACGATCGTTAAATTTGCTTAAAGCACGAGTTGCTGTAAACATCGGTGTCTGACTATAGCCAGGCGATAAAAACGAAAGATATCGGTCGTTAAGAATTAATGCTAGCATAGAATAGAGAGAGCGAAAGAGAAAAAAGATCCATGCTAATTCCACGGATTATAGAAGAGCGACGATCGTGTTTTCTTAACACGTAGAAAAATCCCCTTTAGGTATAACGCCGAGTTATACTATACTAGCAGCTGCATTAAAACAGTGTGTGAATACACATTTGTAAACGATCACTTCATCAAGATTTTTATCTCATTCTTCTTGATATTTTTAACAAATTTTCTAAAAATGTATAAAATAATCAAAGACAAATCAATATTATACAATACAATATGCTTCTCTCCCAATTACCATTGAAGGCTTAATGTGAAGCTGCTTGATTTTTCTGTTAATCCAGTTACGTGATAAGAGAATACAGATCTAAATGGATAAATATAGTCATGGACATCCCTGCAATTCCCCGGATACTAGAAGTGCAGACATTGTCGTTAATATAATAATAGCAAAGCTAGTCGCTCTTGTTACTCGTCTGAAAATCCTATGGGACTTCCACGCACGACCGAATGTGCATGGTGCGTTAAGGGGATTCCAATTCTCTTTGACTATTACTTACTCATCTATATTTCACATATCATTATAGAGTCATTCTTTCTTCTCGATCTTTTAGGATTTAATATGATTGCTTGCCTTTAACAAACTAATATTAGGATGATATTCATGCATCGAATATATCGTTTTGAAACATAAAATTTTGTCACGATATATTCACACTTTTATCATAAATCAGAGTGATATAATCGTAATATACCAATTATCGTATATTTACATTATAAATGTAGACGCGACTTTATATGTAACTATATTAAAATTATCTTATAACTTACCGAAACGAGTAACGCTGCAGCACGTTTGGAAAAATATCTAGAATCGTCGTTCCACTTGGCTTCGAAAATAGACCTGTAAAATACATGAATAACGTGATGGCTTTTTTCGTATTGCAGATTATATTATATGTCCACCATTGTGAATATAAAAAAAGTAAATCGAACACTGCGCCAGTACACTATCACTATGATTAATAGTGCACCTAGTCAATTTTTGAAAAGAGTTTGCAACGACATTCCAACACGAAATCTTAACGCGCCGAAATATTTTGGTCGCATTTTCTATCCTTCACGAGAAGTACATTTATCGCTTTGAGACATGCGACATAGAATTCGTGATGATTTTATTGTCGTTGCACGTAGGTAATTTCTGACGGGGAACGAATAAATTTCGTGTCTTTTTCATTTAACATCTAATTTTTCAAACGCGACATACAAGTATCTTAGATTAATCCTATTGACAATGAGATATTATAAATAATTGAAATCAAGATAACTATGTCAGTTTAAAGTTTACCTCAAAGACATTAAACCTTACATTTCGTCAGAACGTACACCACGCTCCAATAGTACTTAAACACTTACCTTTTGATTGAATGCCAGGAACGACAGAGATCGTAAAGAAGGTTTAGTGCCAGAACAGTAACGCCAGTTTCCTTCGCCAACATCGATAGGGCACCCAAGCAAACGCTGGACCATACATAAGCCGTCTGCTGGCTGTAAAAAAAGCAAATATTTGGAAATTACATAAAAAAATATACAATCTTAAATTCGATTTTGTCTTTTACATACTTAGAAGACATAAATCGATTTAAGTCTTCAAATATCACGGATTTCAGTATTACTATCTTTATTCGTATACGACAATTATATACGACATTATAGACTTGAGAACAATTTCAATCGGTGATTGCAGCTAAAAATGAATATAATTTAAGTACACTCTTGTTATCATGACTATAACATAATTATAACTATAACATCTTGCAATTTTTTTATTAATTATTAAAAGATATTATAAACGCAGATTATATTATAAGAAATAATATATTATTTAGAAATTTAGAATTTAAAATCTTTTTATATAAAATAATTATTAAAAAAAATAGATAATAAAAAAATTGTTATAAATAACCCCAAAAAACGAATACTAGAGAAATAATACTTTAATAATACAACCATATTTTTGCTTGTACAGATGTATTTCATGATATTTCCGATATATTTTTCTCTTCTCAGGTCGCGAATAGAAACGTCGGTATCGGGAAACAATTCTCACTAGAACATTGATCCAAAGATATGTAGGATTTATTCGTTTACGTCGGTTGGCATCTAAATCAATCTACGTTGAATGACAGATCCGTTCCAAGATGTCATTCGAAATTTTAGGAACAACGAGATCAATGTAAGACCTGTCCGTCGAGACAAAACCTTTCTCGCTCATAAAAACGAGGTAAAACGGCTGTGGTAAAATGGAAGTGTTTCTTACAATTTACATCAAGCTTTTTAAGTAAGATTAATAGTAACTCGCTGCGAAGTAATGGCAAAGTGCGAATAAGTAAGAATATACCCATTTTATAGAGAAGTAAAGTGATCAAGATTTAAGAGAATGACAAGTCTTGATGATAAGCCAAATGTATAATTGGAATTAATCATAGATGAGCTTAATCGTCGAGGAATTTAAATGTGATGCGTAAATGATTGGGAAATTGAATTGAAGACGTAAAAACTAAGAGATACCAGTCAGATAAAAAGAAAGAAGATAAATAAGCATAAAGTGAGGCGATGAAGCAAAGGTAGAAGGAAACGAAGAAGAAAGAGTACTCAAAGGCAGCCAAGAGTAATCAATTTCCTAGGTTCGAAGACAAGCATCTTACCCTTCCGCCAGCCATTGGCTGCCCGATGCTAGCCCTACAGACGGAGTTTTACCTTCTTGTCTTCTGCAAACGCTTTTTTATGTTGGAATACGACCTCTACGAAAGCTTTTTACGCTCTTACAATCAAGTCCGTCTTTACAGATTTTTCGTTATATTCAGGCTTTTCTGCACAGTTTATTAATGAAATTTACTTAAAGTTTACAATTTAGCTTCTTTATGATTAATTAAACTTACGCTGAGAAATAGCGACGTATATCTGCCGTAAAGTCGTAAAATGAATATTACGAGAATAATGTCTCTTTAGAAACATAATTGAAATTGTTTTGTGCGTTGAGTCATTCTTCTTAGCTCTTGTGCTGAAGATCGATCGTGAATAACCCGGGGCACATTTACGATCCCACGTAACTGTAATAGTAGTTTGTAGAGTAAATTAGTTTAGTTTATAATTTTCGGGCTTCATGTACATGAGAACGAATGGGTTGCTGTTTTGGCGTCAGGTTGGCGTCGCGACGTTAAGTGTCGCCCGACATTCTTGACGTATGTGCAGCTCCTAAGTTCCTCCAATTTACAGAAGGGTATATCAACTGTATTCCAACTTTTATATATATAATATTTATTTTATATATATATAAACATAATGTAAGGCGATTACGGAATTCTTTCTACTTAATTAAATTATTTTCTGCGTAACTTTGAAATTTATATTTGTTGTATATAATATCTCTCTCTCTCTCTCTCTCTCTCTCTCTCTCTCTCTCTCTCTCTCTCAAAAAAAACTCTCTCTCTCTCTCTCTCTCTCTCTCTCTCTCTCTCTCTCTCTCTCTCTCTCTCTCAGGTAAAGACATATTTAAATAGAAAGAAATTAGTATAAACCATTTGTATTATTCCATTGTCCATATTCGTTAATCTTAAAGAAAATTATATACCTGGAACTTCAGTAAGACGAAAAAGTTTAAGTTATTAAAGTACTTACCCATGATAAGCAAGAAAGGACAGCAAAAAGAAGATACACGCTAGAACATCCGCTCTGCCTACGATGCCAGTCACCTGCAACATAAAATGATATAAAATGACATCATAATATAAAAAGGAAGTAATCGCACACATAAGCGGAAGAAACGTTTAGTTTATATTTGTATATTGTACTTGCTAAAAACTGAAGTGCTCACTAATTTCAAAAATTCTCTTCACTCAACAAGTTGCGGTTATACGAAGCAATTCCTCGTTTGAATCGCTTTTGTCTTAGGAGCGAAAAGAAAGTAGTAGAAGTGCAATAGTGGCAAGGGCTATGTGTAGATCCTCTCAGAAAATAGGAAGCGACAGCTTGATATTGGATTTAGCGGTGTAACACGAGAAGGCTGATCCGAAAGATGTGTGAAGAAGCCAAACCAAAGATCTTCTTCGTGACAAACGAGATGATGGACAAGAGCGAGTTCGTGAAAGTGTAAAAGAGAAAAGAAAGTGGGCGGGGTTAAGATTGTCCAAGTTATCGACAGCCCAGCACGAGTGAATAACCGAGATTCTCAAGGATCAACTCCAGCCAGGGAAGCCGACCTGCTACCGGAAGCTGGATTTACCCGTCGTACTCATCTCTCTTCCTTCCTTCCTTCCGCTCTACTGAGCTAGAGTGTACCAGGTGTACCTTTAAAATTTACGAACCCCCGTCTATCACGGTGGGACGACCGACCTCCCACCTCTTAACGAATTAATTCCACGGAATCGCGGAGATACGATCTGCAAGGTGAACAGAAACTGCAGAGCAAGAATAGCGAGATATCAGTGAATTTCTAATTCGTTCTCTAAAGGAATAAAGTTCGTTCTAAAGAAATATATTAAAATCTGTTTATTAAGCCGATTATATAATAACGTTTAACATATTATACATTATTAAGCTAACTTAATATATCTAGACATTCCGATTTAATACATAAACTAATTGTCTTAAATTTATCATTCATTATAAATTAAAATATCATTAATTTTTTTTAAGTTATTCGATATAAATATATATTTAAAATAACTTATATGATAGCGTAAAGGTAAATAGCTTATATTACTGTCGAGTAAATTGTTCATATCTTATCTAGCAATATATTGTTCTCCGACATGCTTGACAAATTATTCAAAGATGAAATAAAAACCATCACCGACATTAACATTATCATTGAATTGAGAACTGTAATTATAGATATGAGAGACATTGATGAATATACGCTTTCAGCGAAGCGAGCGAGAGAGAGAGAGAGAGAAAGAGAGAGAGAGAAAGAGAGAGAAAACGGGGATGCAATTAATCATTCAATTATAACAAAACAGTACCAGCGAGGAATAACAACTAACATTTATCTTCCAAATTTGGCGTGAATTGTATGCAAATACGAGATATATGAAATACGAGCAAATATACGAGATGTTCTCCCGATGCTTTGCATAAAAATGGCAGTACTGAAATATTAACAGTGCAATATTTAAAATCTTTTTTTCATAAATGATCATCATATTATTTTATATAGTATAGTTAATCGAATACTTAAACAAATATCAAACAATCAAACAAAGCTAGCGGAAGATAAACATTGAGTTGACATTTCATTACAATCTCGTTTTTTTTTTGTCATATCGCTGTACATGCTCCTGCAGCAAGTGGACCCGGAGGAAATCTTGCTCGGGGAAACAATACTCCGTCAACGTCAAGGAGAATGAAAGCCAAGTCTCCGAAGCAGCTAGAAACGACGAACCACAACCGAAGGGTCTGCTTAAGACAACAGAGAGGTTACGATGACCACTTTGCGATAGATTCTTTCATGCGCCTCTTCGGCATCTGTCAGATTTATGGCGAGGAATAATGTGAAATTGTGAAAAAAAGGAAAATGACTGACAAATGGAGCATTTGTCTTAACTACAAATGATGGACCATTGAAAGATAAAGAAGCAAACGCGTGCAAAGTGTAAATGAATGATAAAATCGTTTATTATGCGTCTATGGTCGTAGCCTGTTTGTTTCAATCCACTTTACATCAATCCTTTTCGCATGCCATCAATTTTCCGAAAGCTCAACAGACATACGCCATTTTTCATTCTTAGGCGAAAGTATAAACACATTATTAAAATATATGTGTATGAGTATATTTAACGTAGAAATGATGATCTATTACGGGAACGCGTCTCACAGTTACACAGCTAGAGAGAATCGAAGGATTTACGACACAAATAGATATGAGATGGTGAGTGTTGATGCGTTTGTTCGACTCGATACTAGTTTGTTCTAGTTTATACTTAGCTGAACTCCATTAACATTTCACTCATTCTCGAGTTCTAATTGATTATATAAAGTACTATATTTCCTTGAAAGTTCGCTCGTTATTTACAACTCGGAGTCTTAGTCTTCTTTAAATTCTTTTTCTTATATTGTTATGTTATTTTTTTCTATTCCTTAAGATACAAATTACTGAAAAAATCATATTTTGTATTTGAGAATAATTCGATTTTAAAACTATCCTCTAATCGAATATTCTAAAAAATTTAGAATATTCCTTTATAAACATATCTTGGTAAGAATAATATCAGAAAGAAAATATTCTAAAATCTCGGTGCTTGGTTAACAAATGATACTCGCCTTCGGGTTTACCAGTTCTGAAAAATCACTCGTCCACAGCGGATGCGTCTCGGCTCGGATGTTTTTATTTTGTATATTTTTGAAAGTGTTGCCGACTTGAGAAACATATAGCTGTCCCACGGTTTTGGGACAACCCATCTGTTTGTCCTGATGCGCATCCATACTTCACTCTTTTGTTTTTACATTTTCTGGCTATATTGACCTCCGTTTATAATTTCGGAAGGTGAAAGGCAAACAAAGAAGAAGAAGAAGCCTTCGTACTTTATGCATGCATGTAAGTCCGCGCATATTTCGTGTTCTGACGTGTTCGAGATTAAAGACTTCAAGATATAGCTTTTTGAATAAAGATTTGCTTTTTATTCCTGAAGTAGCTGCATTAGTTTAGAGTTAATTATATTTCTTTCTCCGTTAGAAGGAGAAAACAGTTAGAAGGAGATAACTCTAACATGTTCGATCACTGTATAGTGTTATTCATTATGAAACATGGAAGAAGTGAAAAAGCTGCTTCAACACAATTTACCGGAACTAATCAGTTTTGAGAGCAAGTACAAATTGGAATTTTTGCGAGTGTACGTATCATGTATATATTATATGCGTATGTGCGTGCATGTGTGCATGTGTGTGCGCGCACACAAAGATTAAAATATATTTTACTCCATAATAGAGGAATATTCTAAATAATACAGAATCCACAAAAAAAAGTACCTTAGCTGGGATCTATTTTTGGAGGCCTATTTTATGTATTTTAAGTCTAAATACAAATCTGACATCAAAATAGGATCGTCCAGAATAAATTTTCAATCAAAAATAGAGCAAAAAAATGGCTCAAAAATAAAAAAAAAAAAAGTTTTTTGTCCTAGATTGAAAATTTACTCTGGATGGTCCTATTTTAATTAGATTCGTATTCAGCGACTCAAAATACAGAATAACTGAGTCTTTATCCCAGCACAGGGTACTTTTTTGTGGGCCTGTATAATTAGAATATCTTATTATATTAGAGGGAAATCCTCCAATTTTTACAATATATATTTAGTGCTTATTTTAACAGAAAACATTCTGTAGTTTAATCGGATATATTTAAATCTAGAATAAAATTTTTTTGGTAAACTATTATTCAATATTGATAATTACTGGCATTGAAATATCTATACAAATTTTATATAGAACGAGTGAGTAATGAAAAGGAACGTTATTAATTTAGATCACTATATGAAAAAATCAAATAAGAATCAATTTAATTGTGATATTATTTCAACTTTAGTATGTAGAATTTACATATAAAAAATATTATTAAACATCAAGATTTAATCTTTAAATCTTTAGATCAAGACTGTCTTGAGTGTCTTGATCTTTTCCTTATTTATTCGATTTATTCATATAGTTATCTATTATAGATTAACTTATTATTTACACAGAAAGTTATAAAACTTTTATATAATGTTATCAAATTTAACTTGTTATTTAACTCTTAACTCATTTCAATGTCGTTTCCCGAAGATATACAAAACGTAAAATCTTTTAGTTATTAAATTTCATTTTCATATGTAGTTTAATATGTGTTTTGTACAGTAATACAATATTCCGACAAGTATTATTGTTGCATTTGCACTCGATTCCACTTTTGTTTAACAAATTGAGCACGTCTACGGTTGGGTAATACTAATATTCCCACAATTAATTAATATCATCATTCAATGCGGTAAACCGCAGGCAACGTAGCAAGGGGAGAGAAAAGTAGTGATGTGTATCAACGATGACGCGTAACGCCGTGCAACGCGCATTAAATTTCCAGCAATGCACGAATTCCCCATGTGGGTTAACGTCACAATCAATTGTACATTAACGAAAGATTATTCTGTGATAGAGCATGTAATGAGTATGACTGTTTTAATTAGCTGAATTCGTGAATGTACCGCGAACTAGTGAAACAAGCAAGCAAATCAAACCATTATTTTAATATCACGTCCCCACGTGTTTCGTACGATTCAATTAACTGGTATCCATATAACATGCTACATAACACTCGTTAAATTGCTCATGTCTGCATTTGGTGAATGCGGAAATGAAGATGCAGCTGTCTCCTTTCTAATTAATATTTCTGACCTTGCAGCATATTCATTCTAATCGTGATATAAAATTAAACGTTCAGATACCGTACAGCACCACAAAGCGGAATGCATGCGCGATTCAATTCATGATTCGGTGTGGATCTCCTGTGAAGGAAACGTTCTACGCAAGCCGGAACGATCGCGCAACTTCATGTTTAATTTGACCTGAAACCGAGCTCTGCGGGTAAACCCATCCTACCGAATGTCCTCATCTACCCATACATCCCTTTCCGCGTTCGCAAAATTCATCCCTTCTGCGGAACTGACGCAAACCGGGGGGGGGGTCAGGTCTCTTTCGCTGGCAATATACGCCGATACGGCAACGA